CATTCCTAATGAGCAATGGTGCAGTGGATTAGGAACCACATTCCTAATGAGCAATGGTGCATTGGAATAGCGACCACATTCCTAATAATCATTGGTGCAGTGGAATAGGGACCACATTCCTAATGATCATTGGTGCAGTGGAGTAGGGACCACATTCCAAATGATCATTGGTGCAGTGGAGTAGGAACCACAATACTAATGATCGTTGGTGCAGTGGAGTAGGGAAGGTCATTTAAGTCATGCTCCTAGCAAGCCGTGAATCGAGGTAATATGAAAATAAAAAATAAAGTTCCTCTACTCACCATCATCATCACAGTCTAAAGGAGCTTCTTTCTGCAGGTGTGCCAGTCGAGGATCTAGCCAATGGGTTGTTTCATTGGTATGGCTGGAAACAAAGGAATGGATTTAAAACAAAAAGGAAATCATTAACATAGAACTGTATTCAGCTCATTATTAATTATAGATCAGAATTTTTCAACCTTTTTCATCTTACAATGCACTTGAGTTATTTTATTACTACAGCTTGTGACATACTTTTATTAAAGTATTTCTTTTAAATGTCTTGACTGATGAGGGATTGTGACTAAGGAAATTATTATTAAATTAATTAACATTAGTTCCATCTAATTTTAGAAGGAAAAAAAATATCCCCATTTATTGCAATTTTTATATCAGAATTTTGCATCACTGTTAACCTTGCTGGCACACTGATTGAAAAATTATACTTTGGAATACAATTTTATCATTTTTTTCTCTCTTGTCTTGCCTACACTGAGATGTCATGAATGATAGTGTGGTATGTGCCAAAAATATTAATCCAGCTACAGGGTAAAATACAAAACAAAATATAGACATTTTGTGGAAATAAAAGCTTCCCTGATCCTCCAAGATATTTCAACAATTAAAAAAATTGTGTGTGAACAAAATTTAAATCTTGTTAGCCAATCAGAGCAATTTTTTTAAGAATAAATCTTGGTTATCCCCCCTGAAATAAACCAGTCCAAAATTCCACATAAGTACCGGTAGTCTTTTTCTTTTTAAATATAAATTATCAATGAGTGACTACTTTAAAACAACCTTTTTTATCTGCATATAGGTCAGGTTTTTCAACTGTTTGTAAGAGCCAAAAAGTGCCTTCAAATAAAAGTTTGATGGCGCTGTATGAATTTAAATAGGTGCAATGCATTTTAAAAAATATTCTTTTGACTAAATATAATCTTTAGCTCCAAGACTCACTCTATAAAGTATGGGTGACCATCATCTGTGTAAGCCATTTCCCAATTAGGGGGTAGAGGACCAAGATTTGAAGAGCTGTGAGCCTTTTCAAGGGATTTCTTCCTAGTGAAATACTGTGGTGGCAATTCTTCATCATCCAATGCCATTTCAGAACCACTTCGGGTACGTTTTCTCCTGTCACTCTGCTGTCCCGTCTGCAACTGACCACCTGACAGACCCATAGACTGAGAACGCCTGATAAGCTGGCCCTGTGGTTCTTTAGAAGGTTTTGGTGTTCCATAGTAATTTCCTGCGAACAAAAAAATTATGTAAAATACATAAAAAATTAATCATTGCAGATCTATTTGATTGGCACTTGGTTGCATGTGTTAATAGACTAAACCAAGATTTAATGACAGGAAATCATTTTCTCCTTTTCCCAAACAAAATTGACGCCAATAAAAAAAAAAAAATTTTAATTAAATGTAATTACTTTTTCTTAAAACATCAAAATGTAAACAAAAACTTTAGCTTTTATTTAATCATTATTTTTTTTGTAACATTTTCACCTACACTTAATAAACCAAAGTTAGCATGAGTTAAAAATTAAGTTTTAATCTATGGCATAAAGTGTTAATATTACTACATACCATCAAAAACCCCACTTTCAAGTAACTCTCCAGCTTGCTCAAGCTTTTGAAACTCCTCTATGCTCAGGAACGTATAATCCACACCATTAATTTCTCCTGGACGGGGTGTTCTTGTTGTGCCTGTGTTAAAGGAATTGATAAAAATACATGATAAAAAACTTTTTTCGAGTTTAAATATTCAATGTTAAAATAAAGATTCATTACCCCCATTTTCCCACAAAATTATAAATTTATATAAGTTTAAAAATCATAAATTCAGGTCAGAACAGTGGTACATACCAAAAAAATATATAACTGATTAGTAAGTACTTAACATGACAGATTCAAAGCATTTGTTTAAATTTTAAGAGTTCCCAACTTCCACCCCTTGTGTTTCAGCAGCAGACGCTTTAAAAATACATAATCCTTTTTTTTTAAAGTAAATGATTTATGGAATACTTACATGGTACGGTGCGCATATAAAGGTTGTCTCGTATAATCTGCTGTAAATCATGGTCAACAGAACCTTTTTGGAACCTTGTTATCAGGAATGCATTCAATTCCTTGGGCAATGAACCTGGTAATATGGCAAAATATTTAGCCTGGGTATAACACTGGTTTCAAATCATTGACAGGACTTAAACTTCACAATTAACATTAAAATACAAATAGGAAAGCTTCCTTTCAGTTCTTCTGAGCTTTGCTATTGTTAGGGACTTGGGCCCATTCTTTTTCTTTTCTTTAATAGGTAGTAGGATACATATATATATATAAATTTACATTATATATATATATATATATATATATATATATAACTCATACTTATCTCTATGTGTTTTTTTTTGTACCGATGAAGGCATTTTCCAAAACGTTTGCATTTTTTTTCTGTGTAAAAAATACAAATAGGAGAGCTTCCTTTCAGTTCTTCTGAGCTTTGCTATTGTTAGAGACTTGGGCCCATTCTTTTTCTTTTCTTTAATAGGTAGTAGGATACATATATATATATAAATTTACATTATATATATATATATATATATATATATATAACTCATACTTATCTCAATGGGTTTTTTTTTGTACCGATGAAGGCATTTGCCAAAACGTTTGCATTTGTATTCTGTGTAATAATAATTAAAGCTTAACCTATATTGTATTATTTACACAAATTGTGTCCCATTAGCCCATTAAGCTGATTTTAGCATGACTCAAATGATTTTTTTTATGTGCTGTCTTTTTCATAATTACCCATATACATTCTTAACAAAAGCACTATTTGAGTCACTTACTAATCAGCAGTAATAACAACAGAAAAATAATCTCTCTTGATATTTAATTTTGTTTAAATAACACTTATTTAAAGCCAATTTCACACTAATTTTAAAGCTTCCACATATAAAATGACATTAATGTTTAAAATACAAATCAAATCTCTATGATAAAGATTCTTTGATTCATTTAACTCATTGATTGATTTAATATATAATTAGGCATAAACTGAAGTTACAACTGCAGTGCATATGATAAAAAAAATAAAGCTATTTGTAAATATCTTTTTAAAACTAGATTTATTTTTTTAAAGTTTAAATTATTTTTCAGTCTACAGCCCTTTGTGTTACTAGTTGAGTCATTCAAAAATTGTGTGTATCCCAAGAAATTAGTCAAATTTACCCTACAAATTTGTTTTATGTTTAAAACTAGGATAAAGTACTGTGATGTATTCTGTTCTTGTATTGGAAAAAATCAAGACCTTTGGCCAACATCCATGCATACAAGGCCAGAAAACAAAACAAACTATAAAAAAATTCTGGCATAGGAAGGACAGTGAATTCATTGAAATATGAATGCACATGTTAAGCTTAAGTAAATAGATGTCTTCCTTTTCATTTTCTTCTTATTGAAAACAAAGTCTGGACGTCACAAGTAGAAAACAGTGTGAGGACCAAAGACAAAGATTAAAGAAAAAGAGGGGGTTAACAATATTTATAATCATGTCTCGTAGAAGAACATTTTGTATTTCTTACTTCAGTTTATAACTAATTATTTATTAAATCAATCAATGAATCTTTATTGTTCTCTTATTTGTAAGTTAAATTTCTGGGTTTTACATATCTAACTCAATAATAAATTTTGCTAACAACAATGCAGCTGCACTTGGCTTGGAACAAATGTATGTCTCCATAATATTTAACTGACTAGAAAGACTTTTAGATTGTATGCTTGTAATTAGTTTTTGTAGTGTTGCGTTTGTTTTTAAATGTGGTAAATTATAGATATGTTTTTTGTTGACTTTGTACCGCGCTTCTAGCCTTTGGGGATGAAGCGTGTTTTTGAAATGAACTTTATTATTATTATTATTATTATAATATATATAATCAACCTAACAAGCATAAGTTTTTAATAGTTACTTTTTTAGACCTAACAGTTTAAGTAACCATTATCTATATTAAATTTATTAATAATTCTCAAAAGAAGCTAAAAAATGTTAAATTAACTTAAATTAAGCCAAATTACTAATACCATAATCATTTGATATTTTTAGTGGGGAGTTGTTGAAAACTCCAAAAAGAAAAATATTTGTAAAGAAAAATATTTGTAAGGAAAATAGCACATCCATGAATCAAATTCTTTTCTGAATAGGCTCAATGGTAGTTTTTTAGACTTTAGGCCTAATTCATTTTTCAATCAAATTCATTTGTAACCTGAATTAGTGAATAGGCCTAGCTAAGCCCTAAGGGAATTAAATTTTTCAACAATTTATCATTAATCATCATTATATTTTTATTATTTTATATATTTAAAATAGTAGAGGTCTACTAATATTAGTAATAACTTATAATATTATGCTATATATAGCTAATGATATTTGGCCTACAATAAATTAATTACAAATGATCCTCTCAGAAACGATCCTTGTATACTTTAATAGGCCTACAGTCTACAATGTTTGACAATAACATTATTAATAACATTATTAATTATAATTAATGTTATTGAATTGTCAAATAATAATATTAGTAATTAGCCACCAGTGCTGCTTCCACTGATTGTATACAATATAGGGCCCATAGTACCTATAATATAATCTATGAATGCCAAAAAGTTACAACAGCCCAACTATTTAATTGATCCCAGCTAACTACTGAGAAATTTTATTTTTTAATTGTAAAAAATATATGCCAACTTACTGCTTGTCTTACCTGTAGCTGGCACTGTTTTGATCATGACCGGTGCCCCATTTTGGCTTACTTGTTTGAGCCACAGGGTAGCGTCTCTTTGAGTGTAACCTGATACTTTCTGACCTTGTATCTCAAGAATAATGTCGCCCGTATTAAGCTTTCCTCCATGATAATTTATCTTATCAACTTTAATGAAACCAATATAACAAAACTGGCCATTGTCGGCACCCCCTTCGATTGTGATAGCGAGGTCATCGTGAAAAGCCGATGCGACTGTTTCCCGAACTTGTTTCGTCCAGTGAAATTCGTGACGCTTTTCGGGTGGCGGGGGGCCTTTAGGAGAGGGCAACTGCTTATTTCTTATCATGATGGATTTTTAATCCAGAACTTATCCATTTTAATAATGAATAACACTGAAAACACTGAGTTAGCCTAATCCCTTCATATTTATGAAGTGACACAACTTCGATGACATGAATATGAGACTGAGGGTGAGAGCGAAGATGACAGTCGACACACTTCCAAAATATGGTCCGTCACCCTGGTGTTTACCCCCCTTTGAAGGTGCAGGGGCAATCCTTCTACAGCACTTAATCCTTGAAATTGTGGCTAAGCCATGCTACATAAAAATCACAATATAACGTTTTTAATTTCCGATTGTAGGAATAAAATCGATACAACTTCCGTGTTTACATCGTTTAATCCGTGGGAATGTTGATCACTGTGCTATTTGAAACTGCTGCCGTTCAATACATACATTTAGCGCATGCGCACCGTCCCAATAGGTTATTTCCTTTTGTTTGTTGTGTGTTGGATGTGTACGTGTGCGTGTGTATTATGTTAGTATACTTTTGGGCCATGCGGGGTTATATTTTGACTTAATATCTGTAAATTACAATTATTATATATTTGCAGTAATTTACTAGTTGTGCCAAGTCCATAAAGGTTTAACAATATTATGAAATTTTAGTTACCGGTTACTTTCATTCAATTTCAACGTTGTCATTATCATTAGTCATTAGTAAAAAAAATCAAACATGACAAAGTTTGTCATGATACTCTAGTCTATAGTCTATACTATAGTATACTATACTCTATGACAGTCTGTGATTCATAGACTGATTATCAAGAAAGTATGTCACAAACTCACAATGATTTGGGCTATTTCTACTCGATCATGAATCATTTTCATAGAGGAGGGGCGGCCTAGTCTTACTCTATGCCAACCTGCACTCACCTTCCTTAACTCCTAACTAAACTAGTTAAGTTAACAAACAGAAGCCACTTGACTTAGGCTTAGGTCTATATCATACTTTATGTGAAGATGAAGAAGTGTACAGAAAATGCCACCTGGGATTGGCTACTGTACTGTAGACTTATTGTTATTAGTTTTGGTATTAGCGTCCCAAAGTCAGACTTCTAATTCATTCAGTGTGTCAATAACTTAACAAGTAATATAAATATAATATAAGTCTACCATTTAAGTCTCATTTTTTAGTCATTTCTATTGGTAGCTAATTGTCAATAATATAATAGCTTCTAATTCTAGGGAGCTATTTGTAGCAAACTAACAGCTTCTAGAGAGCTATTGGCTATTGGTACTCCACTACCAGTAGCTTCAAGGCGGCTATTGGTAGTCTACTATAAAAAAAACTACCAATTGGTGATAGATTTATTATGTAATGCAGTATTGGTAGTCTCTGGGTTTTTTTTATTACATCACTGAAATCACTTGCTTAACCCCTTCATTTCCGCTGGTTTTTGGGCATCGATATTTGCTGACTCAGCAACAAAAACCCTCTTCTCTCTTTTTTTTAAATGATGAAATTTTCGGTATTTTTCACCCTCTATCAGATTCACTTTTTAACTTCTCTATAGATTAACGAATTAAGAAATATATAACATTGAAATATGACGTCGACGTGACATCCTTGATATTTCAGAAAAATTCTTTGCCTCTTTGTTATGACCACAATGTGAAGTCCTTGGTAATTGAAAGTGGGTGATCGTGATGTCGCTTCGACGTCATCGGTAGCGAAGTGTATAAGTAGGATGTATGTTGCCCAAAACAAAGTGTGACAACAAAATTTATTATTTGCATCTAGTCTCATAAATTACTCCAATCAGATTTTCAAGACATAATACACTTATTTTTCTTTCTTTGTATATACTTTATTTTAGGATCAAGGCATTGATTCTGCATAGGATTAAAATTATTAGTAAATGGTGATGCCTAGACGTTAAATTAATTTTTGTTATAGATCATCATCATTTAGTAGATGCACAATATTACCCAATGAAATTGTTTAATTATTGTTCATAAAAATATCCATGCCATGCCCATGCCTTTATTAGTTAATGAGGGCTCAACTGTGTAAATAATACTCAGTAGACCTATCTCCTAACATAAAATTAATTAATTGTGGGGGGGTGGGGGCTGTCACATGACCATGTTCCTAACCAAAGATTGGCCCAAGTTTATAACTTTTGTTATCATCTTTAAGCCTAATCACGTTATTATATAGTTTCATTTAACTAATACGGAGTAAAACTATTATTAAGATAATTATAGTAAATTATAGATATAATAATTAGGCCTCAATTTTAATTTATGATCATAATAATTAGCACACACAAATTTTTACTGCTAGATTTTATTTTTACTGCACATATTACTTTGGCTTTGGGACAAAAGAAGCTCAGTAGAATTTTTTTCAGATTAAATGATCCCCTTCCCACCAGTATCATACATCTTTCTATATTAGATCTATATTATAAATTACAATTTTATAGCAATATAGCCAAATCTGAGCATGGGGCTACAGCAGACAGTGTTAAAACAATACTGTAGATTTTAATTTTATAATTAGTAGAGAGATGTTGTCATTAGTACGAACTAGTAATAAATGAACGGGGCAATACTTTGCCAGCTCATTGAAAGCAGGTTTTTAAAGCTGCAATTTTGGTTTGATTTGATTGGCTAGACTACCATTAGCACTCTAGAAGATATTGGTAGTTAACTACAAATAGTTCCCTAGACGCTATTTGTAGTAAACTAACGATAAACCCTTTCTAATTTTTGTGTCTTCCCCTTGGCAATGAAAATCACAATGTCTAGCATGCAGGGTGCCAAGTCTGGCACAAGGCCATAGGTGCTGACGATGCCTGGCCTAGGCCTATACCTATATTATAGTATAGAATACTTTCTACTAGATATACTTTTAGTGCCTTCTAATAGTTCGAGACTATGGCCCATGACTAATATAACTTTATTCAACTATGTTAGTGTTAGTGTATGTATCTTTCTAACCATCAGACCTATACTCGCTATATAAACATAATTTAATAATATATTATAAAAATAAGTAATAATTGGGGCCAGGGCTGAAGGAAGTAAATAAATTTCTCCTTATCTTTACTGTAAAGATTTTAATAAAAAGTATGTTTATGGTTGGCCAGCAGGATGCTATGTCGCCTGCCTATGTACTCATTTATTTAATTGAAAGTTAAGATTCCCAGGGCTCAATCACACCATGAAAATTAATATTGCATCAGAAGTTTATATTAAAAACCTATTTATTTTTGTTTATGAGGGGCTAATTCTTTACAAATATTCTTTTGCTTCAGGGCCTGATTTTCAACTGGAGTTGCCTTATGCAAAGCACATGGAATACTTTTTTTTACATTTTTTAATCATCTATGAAAGGTATTGAAAAAGTGCAGCTGATAACAGTATTAATGCCTGATTATAAAGTAAATTTTAAAAACTATTAAACAAGGTGATGTTACTTTCAACTGAGACTCTATATGCTGCTGCAAGAAATATGAAGACAGATAAATTACATTGTAAAGGCTCTTCAGATTTTAAACAGCTGTCTGTGTTAAAAAAGCTAACACCTACAATTGAAAAAAATGCTTTATTACCTATAAATGTTAAAAGGGCTCAGGCTTTGAATAAAAAAGACTTAAAGAAAGCAAAGACAGTGGACTCTAATCATTTTGGCACAAGTGAGATGAAATTGGATAAAGCTCCATTAGAGTTTAAAGAAAAGAATGAATATCCTGACCACACCGAAGATAGTTCACATGATAAAAAAGGTTTCAAAACACATAAAAATAAAAAAGGTATATCTTTAATTTTGATTTTGTGTATCATAGAAATTTGTGACAGAAATGTGACATCATTTAAATATGTATTTATTACATTAGAATTCAAGCATGATTTTGTTTTCAAGTTTTGAATAGTGTTTCTAATTTTTTTTTTAATAATGCGCTTGAGGGCTGCAGTCAGAAAATAAAATTTTGACCTTGGTTTTTGGTACTATAATGTAACTAAATGGTGTTTTCTTCTTTGGGTAAACATAAAATGAAGCAAGGTTTCACATATTCTTATTTTTCCAGAATAGTACCAGCTTTCTTATAATTTATCCAGAATTCAAGAATCCAATTCAAGACCTTATTAAAACTAGACTAATCTAATATGATTTTTTTTTTTTTTATTCTCTATTCATAGGCTCAAAGAAAAAGCATGATGGAGCATCTAACTGGACTCGATTATGCATGGTAGTAGCAGTGTTTGTTGAAATAGAAACTTACTGTAATGGTGTACTCTGATTGTCAGAGAGAAACGAAAGATTATTTAAGCTAATTACAAGTTTATCTTTGAAATACTATCTCTCACTATTCATATTTAGTTTAAGAGTTGGCAACTATTTATTTTTTTAAAGCCCAAGATTTTATGAAATTCAGTTTGGTAACTATTGTGCATCTTTCAGAAACTTCACATTAATTCTACAACTAGAAAGAATAAACCAGAAAATGTGAAGAGAATGGCAGAGGACGATATAAGTCCGGATAGCAAAAGGTAAGCTAAAAATGTAACCTATTTATTTGTGTTCTCCATCTGATGATCTGATACAATCATAATTTCGTTTTGTTTTATCTAAAAGACTTTGTTAAATTTTTCTGTTGATAGAGCCATCGTTAGCCTCTGACTCAGAGATGTGAAGACTGAGAATCTAACTTCCCAATACCTTGTGACAGCATATTTTAATTACACTACTATTTGATTCACTTGATTTATAAACTTGAAAGAAACATTTACTCATTTAAAATATTTTTGTTGAGCTTTCTAACTTAAGGACACTACTGTATTCTTATTCTAATCAATGATTTGATAACAACTTCAATAAACAAGTGTTATTTTAATCCTACTTTGTTTAATACTACATTCAAATAACATTTTAGGCATGCTTGTTTTCCCTCCAGGTTAAAGCCTGATGTCTGGTTTGATAATGTAGATAATATCCTAATTGAATCTGATAAGAGTCAGATTAAAAAGGAAACAATGGATCCTTTAGTCAAGCCAGATTCTTTCAAGGGGTAAAGTTTTTTTTCTTTTAATACATATGAGTGCACAATGTATAAAAAAAGGTGGACTTCTTTTTATTTATTATTGATTTAATTCTGGTTCAGACTACCATATATAATTATCCCAATAGATAAATTATGGAAAGTTACTTTGACTTCCCCATGACACTACACTTACTTCACCTTTAAAATCAATAGGTGTTTCTCATTTCCTTATATCCTAACATATGTCTTTTGTTTTTTTAATTTTGTGAAAAAACAGAAGGCTACTCTGATGCAAATTTAAAAACAGCTGCACAATTTTCAATAATGCTAATCAAAGAGATGTGACATCACTTTTTCTTGGCTAAAAATTGTGTGATCTTATGACAAAAATTGAGAAATGTTTTCATTTTGAATCAGTTTCTCCTTATGCCTAATCGGATTTTGAGTTTAAATTTCAAATATTTCTTGTATAGAAATAATTGTGAAAATAATAAAATATCATTGCTATTGCGACATATTTCTGATATCAAGAGGATTATAGTGGTTTTCAAAATGCAAGAAAATCTGAGAGATAACGAGGACGAAATCATTATGGACTTGGTTCCCCTTTCTATAAATAAATATTTATTTTGTTTTTCACATTACCATATTTATTACTTAATTATGTATTTTAACCAAATCATTTCTTATAAATAAAATAACAAAAGTAACTTTAAATTAAGCTTCTTTTGAAACCAATTATTCATATTATTGACTTCAAATGCTACCAATATCTCCTTTTCATCTGACAAGAGCAATATTACTATGACACTTTGGCCACATTAACATTATTAATCCAGCTTTTGAATTTGGAATGACATAGCTAAAAAACTGATAATTTGGCCTAGAGATAATAAGTCCTTAATTGTTTCGTTTGTAAATTGATACATTAGTTATTAAAATATTTCTGTAAAGCTTTTTTTGTGATCAAAGTCTAAATTTTGATAGTATAACAATCCACAACTAATTCGGTAAATACCATAGGCATGTTGATTGAAGAAGTTTGTGTTTTCTCTCCACAGATTGACAAACTGTGTTGCAATGGACTGTGAGATGGTAGGTGTTGGCCCGAAAGGTGAAGACAGCATTTTGGCAAGAGTCTCCATAGTCAATCATTTTGGAGTTTGCTTGTATGATAAATTCGTCTTACCTACAGAGAAAGTTACAGATTATCGCACACATGTCAGCGGTGTAACTCCTCAAAATCTATCAACTGGTAATTCCTTGCAAATTGTTATCTTTTATTTCTTAAATTTTTCTTATATTTTACATATTTCCAAAATATGGTTGTCCGTTAAAATCTTATTTTTTACAGTTATAATACATAAATCAGTTTTTAATCTTGCTTTTTTGTAAAACCCAGCTTCCCACAATAACATGAATATGGCAAACACTTTCTATTTCTTGTTATTTCTTCATTTGTCCTGTCTGCTGAGGGATGCTCTTAACCTTAACTTTTTTTGTTGTCCTCTATTTCTATTCCAAGCTTCCACATACCTTGTTTTTCTATTTAATTACTTGCACTTGCAGCTATGATAAATTTTAACTTGATATGGAAAGGGTTTGTTATTTTACAAACCAGATTATAGTATAAAAATGATTTAAACATATGTTATTAATTAACTGGTTAACTCACATATAACAGCTGCATTTACAAATGTCAGTTTTGAATAATATGTAATAGGGGAAGAAATGTGATCAATGGTAATAATATTATATCAAACTAGACTTAGGTTGCAAAGAACGTAGAGGTTAAGCATGCTGAAAATTCAGTAAAGCATTTCAGCTTTTTGTGTATGTCCAACATTTAAAGTAAGGAAAACCTAATCAGATGATAAATGTGTTATTTCTTATGCTTTTATCTTATATGCCCAAGCTATAAAATGCCTCAAATAAATTCTTACAGCCGAAGAATTTTCAATGGTTCAAAAGGAAGTCAGTGATATTATTCGTGGTCGTATACTTGTCGGTCATGCACTCCAGAATGATCTTAGGGTGAGTTTTTAAAATGTTATTATATATATCTATATAAAATCAATATAATTAATGCCAATCCTCCTTTTTGTGGTAATTGGATGTAGTGTATCGTAATGGTAATTGGATGTAGTTTATCATAAATGGTGAGATGCCAGTAATTATGAAGGATTTGGGAAATGTTTTTTAGTAGGTGTGTTCCTGAGATTGTGTAGGGTGGATGAAATGCATTTCAGGCCATCGGGAATCCTAGATCCGAAAATCCATGTTTGTGTTTTTCCTTGTATGAGCTATACAAATATATTTAAATCATGATTTTGCACTGTTTCTAGGTCAGTCGTTAATGTTTAATGTAAGTTTTTATAGGTGCACAAAATGAACGTCTTTTCTGTGCGCTGTGCGTAAGATAGCTTTGTGCGAGATCATTGTGTTGAGTGTTAATTTACTAAATGTCTAAATGTGGTGAAATTTATCATTATTGAATAGTCATTCCTAGACCAAGTAGGTCATTGGAAAGCTTGACCAGATTCTAAAAAAGTTGGCACAACTTTTGTTGCACACCGTACAAGCATCCAAGACTTTTTCAGCTATATTCTGAAGAATATTTGTTTACTTTCTAGGTGTTATTTCTGACTCATCCCCATAAATTGATTCGGGATACCAGCCAGTACAAGCCTTTTCGTGAACTGTTCAAAGGCAGGCTACCTTCATTAAAAAACTTAACGGAAAAAGTTTTGGGTGTAAGCGTACAGGCAGGGCAGCATAGCTCAGTAAGTTTTTTCCTTTAAGTAAGCATAATTATGTCACTAAATCTGAATTAAATATCTTATTATTTTAGTTTTCTTAAAGAAAATTTTTGTTAAACTTTTGTATTTAGTTCAATGAACTCTACTGAAGCAAAGGATTTCTTTATCTCTGATTTTTTTATTTTTTTTTAAAACATGCTGTGGGAGAACTAATTTTGGTTTGCCATTATCCTAAGAAGTGAATGAAGAAATTAAGTTCAAATTTTAATCTTTATTAAAAGATTTAAAAAAAATTAAAATATAGATCTAATAGATTTTTACTTTTGCTATTTAATGTCTGTATTTAGTTTGATTATGGTAATGATGAAAAAACTAAGATAACTTACCACTTTTTACATAACTTTTGAAATCTGTTAACTCATTTATTTGTTTCAAGATCCAGGATTCTCAAGCTGCCATGCGTCTGTACACCATGTTTAGACAGAAGTGGGAAAAAGAGATTAAAAAAAATAAAAGATTAGATAGGAAAAAAAAGAAGAAAGTCAAACCTGCCAGTAAGAAAGGTCAAAAGTAATAGCCGGGAATAATGCATTTACCTTTATTTCTTTATCTATTTGCAATAAATAAAAACAAAATATGTTCATTATTTGACTGACTCATGTCTGTGTATTTAATGGTAACAAGGGGGAGAGACTGCAACCAGGTTAAAAAATGGAAATGAGCGAAACTAAGCATGGGAATGCCTGAAGAAAGTAACCCAACAAATGAACAGGGCAGAATTAAATAAAAGTAACACTTAGCTGAAATGTAGTATCCGAGAGAGCAGCAAGAGGAATGTGACAGATCATAAGTAGGTTAGAGATTATCATTAAAATACCGGCAAAGGGGAAAGAAGGGAGGAAAAGTAAGTCCATGCAAATTTAACAGATTTCGCGGAGTTGGTTTCATAAAAGAATAGGATGCCATCAGAGCAGGTGGCAAACAGAACAGCGTGCCATCAGATTATACGTACAATTTAAACAAAACAGGGTGCAAACCTGGGGCGTCATTTCAAGTTTTCTTCGGGGGGGGGGGTGCAAAAACCAAAACTTGGTCTGCTTGTTGAGTTGTTTATTACTGGAGGCCCCACAGTACATAGCATTTTAAATAAAACCTGCAAATTTGGGGGGGGGGGGGAAATGGCCCCTACTGCCCAACCCAAATGACATCCCTGGTGCAAACTGAGCAGAATTCTAACCAGAGCAGGGTGTCATTTTAGCAGGGGAGGTTCATGGGAAAGTCTGGAGTAGGTAAAGAAAATGTCAGGGACTCAATCTAGTTGAATCAAGAGACGTCAAACTCAATTTGCAAGAAGAAAACAACAGGGCAATGCTTGAGCGTGAAGATCGTTATCATTGTGAATATCAGATCAGGGAGGTAGTAGATATCTTTTAGGATGTTTAAGCTAAGAGTCTACTCTTGGTGACTGAAGAAGAGTTACTGGTGTCCATTCCCAAAGTGACCACTTTCTGTGATGAGTCATCTGAAGGTAACAGATAGTAGTCTCGACGAAGTCAAAGATGGGTCAATATTCGAAATTTAGTAATTTATAACTGAATTGGACTTCCTAGAATCTCTCCCAATCATCTGATCAAGCCTTGAACTTCAATTATGTATCATTGTCTGTGTGTATGTGGCTTCATGTTAGAGGATCATTTCAAAACTGAAACTCATAAAGAACTATTTGTGATCTACCATGGAACTGTCCAGGCCTACTGATCTTGTAATTTTCTCAATTGAAATTGATACGGTAGAGAATGTGATTGACATTTTTAAGTTGTTACTGTAAAGTTTTATTTTTAAATCAAAAGTAATCAAAAGAAAGAAGAAGTCCCATTGAAACCCATGAACAGTAACATCGCAAACCCCTCTGAAACATAGGAGCCAGAATTATCAATTCATTGATCGTGGGCCCTTAAAATAAAGAAGAAAAAAAGAAAAGAAGAAAAAATTCTGTTGCATTTTTTTTTTAAACGCTGCTTCAACTTTTAAGTTTTCTTCTTATGTCCTTAGTTGCTTTAGGACTTAATTTACACACAATACGGTAAAGGGTTTTGTGTGATTATTAATTAGCTTAAAATTTCTTCGTGCATGTCCGTTTCGGGAGGGCTGACTCAGTAAGGGGGTGGGGGTGACACCATGAGTTTATCGCACGTGATGACATCAACCCTAGTGACGCCTCTGATTTAAATTATGCCGTTACAAATACTTCCGGTTAAAAATCAAGTGACTCACTTGCCTTTGTGTTAATGTGGCAGCCATAGCCAGATTTAGCTCACTGGAGGCCCCAGGCGCACCCATAGCCAGATTTAGCTCACTGGAGGCCCCAGGCGCACCCATAGCCAGATTTAGCTCACTGGAGGCCCTAGGCTCATTAAATTTTTGGGACCCCTTGTAATTATTCCCCCGTTCCTTAAATACAAAAAAAAAAGTCAAGTACTTTTGCACACAGTTGTTAGCATACTGTTGGAATTATTTACTTTTATATATATCCAGTATCATTTATTCTAAAATATATATAAATTACCTGAAATGTGTTTTAACATAATAATGTAAACCTGACAGTGCAGCGATAAATATTACAATAGTCTCTTTTACAAAAGTGGAAAGAAGATGAAAAAATTAACAAATAGGCCATTAATTACGTCAACTAAATGGGGTGGGGGGGAGTCGAAATGTTTGACAGCTGTTGACGGGG